CCCCTAAACCCTAAACCTACAGCTCTCATAGTTTCGTGTGGAGTTCAGGTCGACTCAGGGCTGTGTAGGGTTTCTAGGTCCCCAGTAGTACGCTGTTTTGCCCTTTTCAATTTAAGGGTCCCTGATTGGAGCTGAATAACAAGAATAGGGTTTAGGAGACGTGGGGCCACAAGCTATGGTTTTCAAGGGTATCTGCCTCGAAATGATTGCAGTTACGGTCCGACAACAACATGGAGCCTTGCCGCTTTCCCGGACCCTAAATCCCAAAGCCCTAGAGTCTGAGCCTTGCACCCAAAAGACTGTGGGGTTTAGGGTTTAGGGTGGAGCGGTAAGCCGAGAGAACCGAATTTCAAGAGCAGGCTCCGGAACAGGTCTCCATCCATGAGCTTGAGAAGAATCAACTTGTGAGCTGCGTGGAATGAGGGTGTAGGGTTTGCAGGGTTTAGGGTGTAGGGTTTATTGTTTCTTGGTCTTCCTCAAAGCCGTTCTTTCGAGTTTCAGGAGAACCGCGAACGGCAATGCCCTCGGTGCTGCATCGAGCATGGGCCATGCCGACGTGGTGCGCGCGCTGATCGACGTACCTGGTCTTTCAGAGTTGTAAGTTGGGACTTCTGAAGAAGAGCACTCATGCCCAAACCCCTGAAACCGAAACCCAACAATAGCCCCAAACCCCAAAGCCCTAACCACGAACTCTAAACCCCAAGCCCTTCATAGCGCCCCGACATCCAAGGCAGGCGCCGTGAAGCCCAAGGGCCTCACTGACACCAACATGCTCTTCGTCGTGGCCTTCAAAGGCCCAAATATAGGGGCCTCAATTCATTACCTATATTTTTCGGTGGTAATTACCTATATGATTTTGCTGGTTCCTTATTATGATTACAGTATAATGGGCCCCACAACCCTATTCTAATTCTTAAGGCCTTTTTTTTATACCTGAACCAGAAACCTGCATGTGCAGGGCTCCGTTTTTTCTGATTTTCCCCAAAGCCTACACCCCAAAACCCCAAGCCCTAAACCCTAAAGCCCTAACGCCCGAAACCCCAAAGCCCTAAAGCCCTAACGCGCTAAAGTTCCTAAAGCCCTGGAAAACAAGCTAGGTTTCTCCAGGGGTTCAGGAACTCGTGAGTTAGGGGGAGTCTTGGGCTTCAGGGTCTGGGGTTTACGTGCCTTTAAGGCCTTTAAGGGGGGTTTTAAGGGTTTAGGGTTTAGGGTTTAAAGGGGGTGTCTGGAGATTCTTGGAAATTTGGGTCTACTTAGACCCCTAAGAACCTACTTTTGTAAGGACTCATATAAGGAAATCCCCGAAAAGGGTAGGTTCTTTGGGGTCCAGGTAGGGTTTAGTGGTTCAGGGCTTGAGGTTGTGGGTGGTTCTAGGGCTCATGGTTTGGAAGTTTTAGGGTCGCTTCGGGGTTTGGATTTTCGGTTGCGGCTGGGTCTGCTTGCGTCGGTTTGGGCCTCAATTTGGGGTTGCCAGGTTTGCCCAATTCGAGCTGGGAGTTTAGAAGCAGGATTGTCTTGTTCAGAAGTGCACGAGTACAGCATGGACCCTAAACCATCCTAATACCCTTGGGGCCCAAACCTCTGTCAAAAACTCCTAGGAAGAGACTTGGGTATGCGGCCCTGTCTATCTTTTGCTGAAGGACATTCATATACAATTCTTGAAAGCATTTTGAGCCATATAAAGGTTTAGGGTTTAGGGCCCGTAATAAGGAACATACCATAATTCCTGTGGTTTAGGGTCCTCTAGGCCCCCACTATTCGGCCTTTGGGATAGCTTTTATTTTGTCCTACTGGGCTCAAGAGGATCTGACTTAGGAAAAAACCCTCAGGAGCTTTACGGGGGCCAACCTAGTTTAGGGTTTGGTTGCTTCGGGATAGGGTTTAGCAGTTTGGGGGTTTGAGCTCAGGAGTTTTAGGCAATCCCCAAGCCACCAAACCATGAAGGTTCTCAGGGGGTGTGGGGCTTTGGCGGCTTGAGGGTAGGGTTCAAGGTTTCCGGGGTTTTGGGGGCTTCGAGACTCGCGAAGCGGTCCAGGGATCTAGCTTACGACAGGAATGCTCTGGATTTGAAAATTGCGTCTTTGAGATGGCCCAGATCACCCCTAAAAACCCTAAACCCTGAACCCTTAAACCTGAAACCCTAAACCCCTAAACCCGAAATGTCCCGAAGCTCTCGCTTCCCACATTCCTCCCTGGTTGCACGAATTTGGGGGTTGCCGATAATAGGGGACCCTAATATAGTACGCTAAGTAGTAGGACCCTTATTATAAGGACCCCAAAATACGGTACCCTAATTTTCGGAAAGTCCCATTTCTGGCTTTCCTGGCCGGAGACCTGAAGTGTCCATCCCAAGATCCTGAACCCTATAACCCCACGGGTTTAGGGTTGAGGGTTTAGGATTTAGGGGTTTAGGGTTTTAGGGGTTTAGGGCTTTAGGGGTTTAGGGTTAAGGGTTGAGGGTTTATGGTTTAGGGCTCATGGTTTAGGTTTAGGGTTTAGGGTTTAAGGCCAGAAAGAGCCCTGTCAACAAAAAGGATAAACCTAAGCTCCCAGCCATGCCCTGACGGAGGCCACCTCGACGTCATGCGCCTTTTGATTGAAAACCGGATTGAGCAGCATCGGCCGGTACACAAGAGAGATCACCTTGCAGCCGGGCGCGGCTTAGCAACCCCGGGTTGTTCCTTCAAGGGCTCTTTCGAGGGGGGGACACTGACCTGGTGTGCATGAAACCTCCTTGTATACATGGGTAGTAGTTCTCTAAGTTAGGGTCCCTTTTTAGGTCCCCCAATATTTTAGGACAGCACCCTTATAAAAAGGACACCCAAAAAGGGACCCTAATTTTGAAAACTACCCATGCAGCATGAAAAGCCCCCCGAGGCTGGTAGTGAAAGTATGTTTAGACTTCTATACTACCTGCCATTTGAGGGTTTACGGGTTTTGGGTTTTGGGTTTGGGGGGTTGTGGGTTGAGGGTTTAGGGCTTAAGGGCTTAAGGGTTTAAGGGTTCAAGGGTTTAGGAGTTTAGGGTTTAGGGATTCATTCGATTTCCCGGAAGCATTTCCCCGGCCCTCCCTTCAGGCACGGCAGTTCCAGGACTCATGAGAATTAGACCCCCGGAACTGAAAATGGAGGTCTGAGAAATTTAAGAATCAATGTCCCCAATATATTCACACTAAGGTTTAGGGTTTTCGGGTTTTAGGGTTTAGGGCTTAAGGTCCCAATATATCCGCACTGGAAATAAAACCTCATCGCCCTCTTCCTATCATAAAGGCGCCTGTATCATCAGCACCCAAGGCAATGACGACCACTCTCTTTGCCAACGGCAACCGCCTCTTCGCCATGTCGCTACATCTGAAATCTGAGTGTTGCCAGAGTGTACTATAGGGGCCTGAGTAAGTACTAATACTATTCCTTACGGCTACTTAGAAGAATACTCGCAGAGAAAACCCAGAAACCTATCCTAAGCATGAAGGCCCTATACACTTTGTGAGGGTTTTCTGTTACCGAGGCACACACACATTGTTCTTTGCTGATCTTGGGGTCCAGAATGTTCAGCAGGAGGTGGGGCGTATGTCTGATTGAGATGTGCAGCCTTCCCGCTTTGTTTTCAATTACAAGCCGCAGACAGGTAGAGCGAATAAGATTATTAGCTTCTGGACAACAGATTCATTGAAGCATCCTCGACCCATCTCGACTCTAATTCCTTGCCAGCAAACGGAGACTGCTTCACTCAAAAGATGACCCTACACCCCGAACCCCGGATCCAATAAAGCCCTGAAAGCCCAAGCATATATAGAACCTTGAACACAGCCTTAAACCCTGCACCCATTCTCCAAGCATCGTGATGTAAGCCCGCACTCATGTAATTAATGCTAGACCCTATAAAGCCTCACAAAAGCCCTCAACGCCCTATTAGGAGGGTCGGGGGACGTAGTGCGTAGATTTTAATTTTAGACTTTAAATATCATGACCCCGATTAGTACCGCCGTTGAAATTTTAGGGTATTTAGAAGTCTACTTATCACCTACTCACTAAGTCCCCCGACCCTCAAAGTACTACCACCCTGCGAAGTCCGTGAAACATCCTGAAACTTCGCACACCTACAAAACCCTTAAACCCTTCCACGCTGAAATCCGCTTTCAAACCCCATCCCGAAAGCCCTACACCCTTGAACCCTTAAGCAGCGACCCTAAATCCTAAGCCCTTCCTAAACCCTTACATCCTTAAGCCCTACCTGGACCCGAAATATTCTACATTTTTAAGGACTTATATAAGGAAATCATGCTAAGGAGCCCTAGAAAGGTAGGTTCTTTGGGGTCTGGGTAGGCCCTAAACCTTGAGGCCTTAATCCCAGATGGATTATCATCCTCTAAACCCTAAAGCCTAAGCCCTAATCCCCAAGCCCTAATCCCTAAACCCAGCTGGAGTATCATCCTCTAAACCCTAATCCCTAATCCCTAAACCCTAATCCTAGGTGGGTTATCATGCTCTAAACCCTAAACCCTAATCCCCAATCCCTAAACCCTAATCCTAGGTGGATTATTATCATGCTCTAAACCCTAATCCCTAATCCCTAAACCCAGGTGGATTATCATGCTCTAAACCCTAATCCCTAAACCCGGATTATCATCCTCTAAACCCTAATCCCTAAACCCTAACCCTAGGTGGATTATCATGCCAGCTTGCACCCTGAGCTCCATGTCCGAAGATCCCACGAGTTGGAAGAAGCCTCTTCTAGTAGGCCGGGGGGGGGGGTATCTCTTTGTGGAGTCGTTGAGGCTGAGGGGTTGTAGGGTTTAAGGGTTTAGCGTTCAGGGTTTATAGGGCTTGGGATTCTGAGTTTGGTGCCTATATGTTACATGAGTATGTTGTTGGATTGGATGTCGGGGCTTGGGCCTATATCAATAGGGCCTCTTACATTCAGTAAAAGATCAAACCCCAAACCCGAGGCAAGAGCCCCCTTATAGCCCTCCGCCTTAAACCCTACCTGGACACCAAAATTATGGAAAAAATAGCCTTTTTGTATGGTTTGGGCCATTATTCTACCAACTTTCGGGGGGTTTAGGGTTTAGGGTTAAGCCCAAAGCCCTGCAACCCAAACCCTGTGCCCTTTTTTCGGTGGAAAGATCAGCCTGTGACTTGTTTCGGGTGCCGTCAGGGTGTATTCGTGACATTTGTTGTTTCCTTTTTTCCGTAAGTAACGCTAAACCCTAACCCTGAACCCTGAACAGTAGCCCTGAACAGTAGGTTCAGGCTTAAGGGCTCCTTGCTTAAAATCTTTTGGTGCTTCTCTTGCGGCGGGTGGAGTTGCAGGCTTACGAGTGCTTTTGTTGGCTCTTGTCCTCTTGCTGCGAGGGGCGATGGAGTTTGGGGGTGTATGGTTTGGGGTGTTAGGATGTTTTAGGAGGGTTTAGGGCTTTAGGGGTTGAGGGTTTAAGGGCTCGAGGCTATTTTGTTTTTTTGTGTGTGTCTGTGTGTTTTGCCTTGCTCTGGCTCCTGCTGTCTAGCCTGTGGGGATAGCAGGTTACAGGTGGTTTGGTCTTATAAGGCACAGTCCTTACTGTACCGATACCCTCAACCCCTACAACCTCCTACAAGGGCGTAAATACATAGCAAGGACACCCCTTTAGGGCTCCTTACTCTAATCATGCCTTAACATACCCCAAGCCCCAACTATGCTAATGATGAAAATTTCAGGGCCCCACATGAAACCGGAGGTGCTGTCATACTCAGCATCGTGGCGCTGTACCTTCTTGGCGGCGATGAAATGAAGCGGGAGATTCGCGGCAAGTGGGCGGCCTTCTTCGAGTGGAAGTACCTCTGTACCTGGGCCAAGGTTTAGGGTTTAGGTTTAAGGGCTTAGGTTTCCGGGTTTAAGGTTTAGGGTTCAGGGTTTAGGGTTTAGGGTGGTTCAGGGATTTTTTTGGGGCGTAGGGGCCTCAATGCATTGATGCTTTGAGGTCTTTGGCCGAGGATTGCACTCAGCACAAAGTTCTCAGAACCCTCTTCTCCCTGGTTACTTCTTAGTAGGGAGTGGGGGAATGGATCCCTATGATAGTCCCTTCAGGTCCCCCCATATTAGTCCCAAAGACGAAGTTCTCAGAACCCTGGTTCCTAGTAGGGATCCCTATGATAGCCCCTTAAGGTCCCCCATAGTAGGCCCTAAGACGAAGTTCTCAGAACCCTTATTCCCTGGTTCTTAGTAGGGATCCCTATGATAGTCCCTTAAGGTCCCCCACAGTAGTACGAAGTTCTCAGAACCCTCTTTCCCTGGTTCTTAGTAGGGATCCCTATGATAGTCCCCCAAGGTCCCCCACAGTAGTACGAAAGACGAAGTTCTCAGAACCCTCTTGCGCTCAGACATGGGATCTCAGGCAACTGCACCATGAACCCCCAAGCCCCAAGAATCCCCGGCCTTAAGGACCCTAGACCCTAAACTCTAGACACTAGACCCTAAGCCCTAAACCCTGAGCCCTAAACCCTAAACCTCAAAACCTTTCAGACTCTAAGGCATAAAAAGCCTCCAAAGCCGTAACCTCGGAGTCCCAGCACACACCCCAAAACCCTGAACGTTAAGCTAGGGTTTAGGGTTTAGGGTGTATAGGGTTTAGGGTTTATAGGGTTTATAGGGTTTAGGGTTTATAGGGTTTAGCGTTTAGGGTTAAGGGGTTAGGGGTTAGGGTTTAGGGTTAGGGTGTAAAGGGTGTAGGGTTTAGGGGCCCTAAGCCTCAAACCGACGCGCCCAGGTCTCTGCTACATCCGGCATTACATCATGAAGTATAAGTAGCTGTGTATAGCTCTATGACCTGGAGACTCCATTAAGAAGGGTTTAGGGTCTTAGGGGCTTAGGGTTTAGGGGCTTAGGGTTTAGGGTTTAGGGCTTGGGGTTTAGGGTTTAGGGTCTCTTGGTAACCCTTAGCCTTTGGTGGTACGGTACGATAACCCCTTATAAACTCCACATATCCTTAAAGGTTAACCTTCACCTCCCCTGGATATTGGACAAGTAACTAGAAGCCTGGAGACCTAGTAGTACCAGTCACGTGAAGGTTCAGGGTTTAGGGGTTTAGGGTTAAGGGCTTAGGGGTTTAGGGTTTGACATCTTGAGCAGCCCAAAGGAAGCCTCTGCAGCTCCATCCCTTTTCGGCCTTATAGAACCCTTTCAACACCCTTAGCTTCACCCTCTAGACCCATGGAGGCAACCCCTCTAAAAAAAGTGGGGATACGATACAAGGGGCCTTAATGATGAACAGGCTTTTGGGGTATGCTGTACTTAAGAAATGGTACGAAGGAGTCAATAATCATCATAATTCTGACAATGGATAGTAATTAGAACAACAATAATAACAACAATTGCTTACAGATCGATCTGACTCCCTACAGCCGCCACGAGGAACCCTAAACCCTAAACCCTAACCCAGTACTTTAAGGGATGCAATTGGAGTCTCTAGGCACCGTTCCCAGTTCCAGTTTCCCCGCGGACGGACTTCTGTTCACGGCGTCAAAATCAAAGCAGCAAGAGTGTCAGTCATAGGGATATCTGATTAACTTTGTAAGAGTTACCCCACATAATGTCACATAATCCCATCACTACTTCTGCACACAACTCACCCCTAAACCCTAAACCGTGAATTTTTTGCGGCCCAGGCCCCTGTTTCTTCTCGAGCTTGACTTTTCGGGTTTTCTCCCAGGGTCCAAAGTACCTATATAGTAGAATGTAGGGTTTCTATATTAGGAATTACTATTTTGATTTGGGGAAGTATCCCCCACAACAGTACCTAGGACTCTTTGGGTCTGTTTCCCGCTTTCACTTCCAGGAATTCAGGGTATGTGTGTGTGTGTGTGCGCGTGTTCAGCGCTGATGGTCTTTTTGTTTGCAACTGCCTACTTTTCCATTTTACTCGGGCTGGGCGAACTCTTCACTGGCCAATGTCGAAGCTACACTACTATGCAACCCTAGGCCGCAGGTATCCACCCCAAGCACCACCTGACCCCTACATACCAAGTAGCAACACAATCGCTCACACGTTGCGACAGATAGGCATCATATAGGGGTCTGAATGAGTGTCAACTCTACTACTTCCTAGGGCACTTTAACATAGCTGAAGTAAATAACCCGCCCATTATACCCCTAGTCCAACGATTTGGGCTAGTTTTTGTGTCTTATCTCGTGCGCCCACGGGTTGAAGGATCAGCTCAAGTTAAGGGTTTAGGGTTTGCGCAAGACGCAGCTCCCCAAATCTTGAAAACTTGAGCACTCAGACAGCCCATCAGCAGGAAGTCCCCCCACCACAAACCGGCTGAAGACATTCCTAGGGCTTTTGGCGCTCCAGTGGTTTAGGCTCTAAGGTTGCTCGAAACCGAGAACATTGAACCCCGAATTGAGGGTGTTCTGGCCCTAAACCCTAAACCCACCCTCTTGGGATCAAACTGTCAGATCCTCATTGTAAGTGCGCCTGAACAAGACTGCGTTACATGTTGTTCTGTGGGGGCTCCGAACCAGCCTGGCAGGCCTAAACCTTAAACCCTAAACAGAAGGGTTCAGGGTTTAGCTGTGTTTTCCACATGGGGGGGGGTTGCATCAGGGATGATAGGCCTTCGGCTTCATTTTTTTACCATCCAATAAACCTGTTGTTAAAGGGATCATAACGTACATACTGCTGTATTCTGTCGGTCGGGATTGGGATCCACAGGTAAGGCTTCACGTAGAAGCCTGAACAATTAGAAAAGCCAAAACTCAAAACCACAGTTCCTACAGGGTTGACAGGTAAAGTTTAGGGGTCCTTTAAACTTGATGCCTTTAACTACTCAAGCCGTTGATTCTCTGGAAGTTTCAGAAATCGGGAGTCCAGGAAACTCTAACGGAAACCGTCGACAGTAGGGTCCTAATTAAACAGAGGGGCCTGTACCGTATTCTTGAGGGGTCCTGAAAAAACCGTACGCGACAATATTCACCCAAGCCCGTCCCTATACTACAAAGGCTTTAACATGGACTAAACCCTAGACCCTTAAGCACTACAGCACAGCTTCAGCCTTGCACCCCCTGTGATCCTGCTCAAGAGACCTAAGAACCTTGCAGCTCTGGCTTGCAGAAGGCGCATTTTAGTGTTTTTTCGGGGAGCCCAATACCCCTAGAGAGTTTCAAGTCAACGACTTTCGCACCTTTGCAAATATCTTCTGATGTAGGAACTTCTTTGGCACTGCTTGGAGAAGTGAGCACAGTCTCAGGGTTTCGACCCCGTCAAAAACAAATTGGGCTCCCTGGATTTAGCCTTCTGAAGTCCGGGCGAGGATGGCGGACGAGAGGCGTCGGGGGGTGTAGGGTCTAGTCGCCGAGGTTGTGACCCAGAGACTCCAATATCCCTTAATGAAGGAATATACCTTAAATCCTATTAGGGTTCCCATTGTAACATAAGGTATATTCCTTAGTTAAAGGGTATTGGAGTCACTGGGGACCTTAACGCCTAGGCCCTAAACCCCTAAAAACACTGTCGGTTGGAAGCTTCGGGGTTCAGGTGTTTAGGGGTTTAGGGTTTAGGCCTCAGGGTTTGGGGTTGGTGGGGGTGGCTTGTGTGCCGAGATCCGCAAAGCCTCCGACGCCGCACGACCTGCTTGGGGAAACAGCTTCCTAAAGCAGTTATAGCACATTTACCCAAGCAGTTTACCTCCAAAGCTCACATCATGCCTATAACAAGCGTGCCTTCAAACCCATCCCTAAACCCTAAACCCTAAGCCTACACGACTCTTTGGAAACCTACACGTGCTTCAACAAGGACTCTGCACGCCAGAATCCACCGAGGATCCCCTTCCCTTCCTTACGGCCGCGCGCTGGTCACTGCGCCCTCCTTTAGGTTTTAGGATTCAATTCTCGATCAGACACCCCCCGCCCCAAACCCTGAATAAACCCCAAACCCTAAACCC